TTAACACCCTACATGCATAACACAAGAGAATAAGGACACAACCATTGGCAACACATGCCTTTGTGACGACACACGTCACAAGAAGAGAAACTCACAACAACGGCTACACAAGCCTTCGTGACATCACCCATCACGAATTGATATGCCTTCCTTATGCCCGGTTCCAACCTTATGGCTACCCCCAACCTTATGTCTAGTTCCAACCATTACCTCCAGGACCCCTGTACAACCAAGTCCAACCTTTTCCCTCCTAGGACCGTTGTCCCCCCACCAACAACCACCAACAAGACCACCAATTCATAGTACACGAGGGTACCGATCACACGCACGGCGATACACGCCTTGGCAACACATGCCTCCCAAGAAATACGTGAACCCGACACACAGGTCACAAACTCCATAATCACGTCATGGCCACCACGCGGACCACTGTCGTACCTTGGTGATTAAGGCCCCATAAACCGAAATCGTGCAATCCAGGTACAGCCACACACACCACACCACAACAGGAATCAATCAACGGATCACAACGAAGATATGAAACCATACTCAATCAAGGAATGGATCACAGTCCAACAACAACGATGAATAACACAAGTTATCATCAACGATAGGAAGATACAAACAACACACACGCTAGCATTTAAACACCGAAATAGCATGCTTATCAAACGGGTAAACCAAACGTAGTTCCGAAGAACACACAAGACTCATCACGGTTCAACGAAACACAATGTTGAACACTTAGCATGATTCAAGACACGAACACTTACATGGATTCCTACCATATAGTTCTTGACATACGAAACATCAAGAAGACACTCAAATAGTTCCACGAAAGAACAACGGGAAGTCAAAAGACCAAATACCGAGTCAAAAGAATCACGGGGAACAAATCCCCCAACAATCTAACATTGTTCCCCGCGGGTGGACCCACGGGTAGACCCCAACCCGTGGTTCCGCCCGCGGGTATACACCCACAAGCCACATGTACCACGCGGGTGGGACAGCGGGTGGACGCCTACCTGCTGTTCTGCCCGCGGGTACACACCTGTACACCAAAACATCCCTTCGGGGATTTTCAACACCAAGCTCAAATTCAAGTCCAAAAAATGTCAAATCTCACCAAATACAACAAAATGACTTGAATCAAAGGAATAGCCAAGCAATGGCACACATGAACCCTAAACACAAGTTCTAGATATGCATTTTCACAAGACAATGCATAAACACTCACATTTCATAGCAAAACACATGTAGAATCCAAGAAATCATCATATAGGTAAGCAAAATAGATTTTGTAGAGCATGGGTTACCTCTTGAAAACAAAAACCTTCACTTAACACTTCACAAAGCTCCTACTAAGGCTCACCTTCCAAACCCACTTCAAGAACACACCAAAAGATCATAAAGATTCTATCTTTAAGAAAAGACACCTTAGAAAACACTAAAAACACAAGATGAACATAGATCTTACCCTCCTAGATGCTCAAATGTATGAAAGGTAGAATCTTGGAGACAACCTTTGAAGATTTGACAAAGCTCCAACTTGGCTTGGAAGAAAAGCTATCTAACTTTTAGAGAGAAGGGAGAGCTCAAGTTTGGGAAGTGTAAGGAGAAAGAATGAGGAGTGTCTACTAGGTTAGCTTGATTACTAACACAAAGTGAAATGTCATGAATACCCTTACTAAAATGAAGAGGTGTAAGGGAACAAGGGAACTACTCACAAAGCTTAAGGTACAACCTTGACTTTGTGTTGACTAGTCAATTACTAGTCCCTGACTATTGAATTTTCAGGAATTTAAGGAATTAAATTACCAATTGGTTTAGAATTAATTACTAAATTAATCCCTTAACTGAATTTGGATTACGGGGTGTCACATCAGATGTTGTAAAACACAGTCCATAGTATAGAGTCCCCTTGACATATCTTAGAACTCATTTGAGTGTCACCCAGTGCTTAGAGTTTGGAGAGTGCATGAACTGACAAAGTTTGTTGGCTTCAAAGGAGAGATCCAGAAGAGTGATGGTTAGGTATTGAAGTACTCCAACAATGTTATGGAATTGTGTAAGATTTTCATGTGGTTGATTTGTGGTTGTTGCACTTAGCTTACTATTAATTGGAATTAATGTTGAGATTGGTTTGCAGTGTTCCATTAACTAGTACAGGATAAATTGAAATTGCAAGAACTGCTGAGGAGATTGTCCTTGATCCATCAGAAGTACAAGCTGCTGTAACAAGAAAGAAGGGATAAGAGAAAATGCCAGACCCTGAAGAACAAACAAATCTAATGCAGAAAATCTAGGTGTTTCCTGAGAGCCCTACCATCAGAAGGAGAGCAACAAGATCAAATTACATCCCCCAACCTATACCAAGAGAGGAAGTACTTGTTGCTGCTCCAAGAAGGAATATTAGCAAAAGAAAGTTTGTGACTATTAAACCAGTAGAAGAATCATCATTAGCTCCAATAAAAAAAAAAAAAAAAAAAAAAAAAAAAAAACAAAGAAGAAGAAGAAACAAAGTGCTTCTATTGTAGAAACTGAGATAACAGAGACACCAGCTGAACCACCCTCTGAACCTATTTACAAGCTCATGTTCATGTCAATTCTTACAGTAGAAAGGTGGGAATCAATTAAAAAGAGACAGACCTTAGGAGAAAGAATCATTGATCTGGCAAAGTTCAAGAGTAAGTGCCAGATTATCTCACTACTGGAAAGAACCAATCTATTGAAAACGGTTATAGACATTCGAGTCCAGGCATATCCTTCAACAGTTGTCAAGGAGTTCTGTGCAAATCTTATCCTAGAAGTGAACAAGCTAGATTCCATTGTATTCGGAAGGCTTTGGGTTCGAAACCAATGGTATCACTTCAGTGCCACCAAAATCAACTCATATTTTGGACTCTCAAATGATGTGGAAGAAGCCGAAGTCAGCCCCAATTTGATGACAAAAAGACTGACCAGAAACATGTTTGACCATTGGCCTACGGGTACCAATACTCTGCCTGCACTAACCTCAAAGTTTTCCATTTTACATAAAATAGCACTAACAAATTGATTGGCAGGTGAACATCTAGGTGACCTAAACATGCAGATGGCAAAGGTGATATACAAAATTGACCAGGGCATCCAATTAACTTGGGTGAAAGTATCTTTGAACAAGTTATTAGCTTCCTAGAATCCAAGGATCCAAAGGTCAAGTTACCATACCCCAACATGATATATGGTATTCTAAAAGCACAAGCCTTGAAGCCTTAATTATTCCTATGAGGTTTTTGAGTTACCCAAGACAAGGATCACTAATCACAGACTGTTGACACCTCCACATTTACTTGATGTTACTCCAGAAAGTGGATAGCTCTCTGCACTAGTTCCTGAACAAATTGTGCCAACTCTACTTGAAACCAATAAGCTTACATCGCAGGTATTGAGACAAAGCATTGATGAGCTGAACAAAGCAATTGCTATTGTGGAGAAAAGAAGGAACTTGGACTTGCAGCTACTGGAAGAGCTTATAGTCAGAATTGCCAATGAAGAAGGTGCTACCACAATAGAACAATAGGATGCACAATGCCCTGCTGAATACGTTGATTGATTTGATTCGAATCGTGCTTGGCCCAGCCTAGAAGTCATGTGGTTACAGATTCGCAAGTTTCTGACACTAAGGGGGAGCACACCCAAAATTAATCCGATTACTTTATGGTTCTGGTTACTGATTGGCCGAGTTTGCTATAGGCCACACAGATATTCTTTTAAGATATTATCTTTTTTTTTTTATTAGTTGAAGGTAGTAGGATTTAGCCTTGAACTAACTAAAATTGGTCGTAATAAATGTCTTTTTGAACTTTGTGTTAGAGTCTATCTGATTGTCAGTCAAAAGACTTGGATGATTTTTGGTGTCAAATAGTACTTTGTTTTAGGCATCAATTGTGGATGAACAAACTGCATTTTCATAAACTTAACAAAGGGGAGATTGTTAATAAAATGTATACTTGTGAAAAGAAGTTACAAAAGAGTATCTTTTACCTCTTTGAGTTGTTATGATTTATGGAACACTTCACCTGAAATGATTTATGGCCTCAATTTGATTGATCGGGAGATAACTTCACCTGTTCTTCAAGAAGAAACTCTACAAGTTGGTTGTGGTACAAGCTGTGAAACTCATAGTTCTTTGTGGACATCATTGTGATTTGGTTGAATGAAGAATTGCGCAATCTCTTCATGTGTTGCACCCCCCCCCCCCCCCCCTACATTGGAGTAGTTTTCTCCGAACTGGGTTAACAAATTTCTAGAGTCTTCTTACTGCTTTCAATTATTGATTGTTGTGCGTTAATTGGGTGAACTAAGTACTGCCACATTAATCGAACTAGTTCATAAGCTACTTGTCTAAGAAATTGTATCTACATTATCGAGTTTATTACTTGTCGATTGAATCCACATTGAATCATAAATAAGTAATTGGACTGAGGGCTAGAATTTTCCAGATTTTAGATCAAAAAGATATAATTTTGGACCTTGATTCACAGAAAAATTTGTTTTTTTTTTTTTTTTTTTTTTTTTTTTTTTTTTTTTTGCACTGAGCCTCTATGAAGTCTTTACACATGACTTTCTAAGTCAACAAAATTCTTTTTCCTTTAAAAAAAAAATTAAACTTAGGTGATTCCAGCTTCACCAGACTGATCCTAACCCTACAAACCCCTCCCTAGAGCCACTTGGAATGTAAATCGCGAGTTACGCAATTAGTCCACCAATCATATCCTAATCTTAATGTAGGCACAAAGAATCCAATCCAAACCTTTTAGCATCATTGAGTCATTTTACCATACATGTTTCCAATCGAACTCCTACACTGTCGTCTTCCGTCATGACTTTTAAGTTAGGCAATGAATCCACTACGGTAAGTTTTGGGGCACAAAATTCTTTTTCTTATAAAAATAAAAAGATTATGTATTGATTTAGTAGAAGAAATACTAATTTTACTATTACAAATTGCAGCACAAATTAAAAAGGAACATTGCTTTTAGTCGTATCAACACCACCACTGCACATTGTCATACTATTACGGTTGCCCTCTCATGTCAAGGTTGCGCAATATAATAGCTAAAGTCACCAAAATCAACCACCTGAGACAACTCCATGCTCACCTCATTCATTACTCTCTTCACTGCCAAAGCTACTGGGTGGCCCTGCTCATTAATCTATGCACGCGCCTCCATGCTCCGCCGCCCTACACCCGTTACATTTTCGAATCAGCACAGGAACCGAACATCTTTGTTTTCACCAGCATGCTCAAGTACCATTCCCAGTTGGGCGCCCAGAATGATGTTCTCCAAGTGTTTGCTGAAATGCAGAAGTTTGGAGTGAGCCCCGATGCGTTTGTCTACCCGATACTGATCAAAGCGACAGGGGAGGGTGGTGTTGTGTTCCACGCAAAGTTTATTAAAATGGGTATTGATTCCGATAGGTTTATACGCAATGCCGTGATGGATATGTATGGAAAATACGGGCCTATTCAGGTTGCGAGGGAACTGTTTGATGAAATGCCTGAGAGGACTGTTGCAGATTGGAATTCGATTATTTCTGGATACTGGAATTGGAAGAATGAGGTTGAAGCGCGGAGGATGTTTGATTTGATGCCAGAGAAGAATGTGATTACTTGGACAGCGATGGTGAGTGGGTACTCGAGAATGAAGGATTTGGTGAATGCTAGGAGGTATTTTAATAAAATGCCCGAGAAAAGCATCGTTTCATGGAATGCAATGCTTTCTGGCTATGCTCAGAATGGGTATAATGAGGAGGCAATAAGGTTGTTCACTGAAATGGTGAGTGTTGGAGTTATTCCTGATGAAACAACATTGGTTACTGTTATTTCTTCTTGTTCTTCAGAAGGTATTCCTGCCCTTGCTGAGTGGCTTGTCAGGATGATCAACAAAAAGGGCATTCATTTGAATTGTTTTGTCAAAACTGCACTTCTTGACATGTATGCTAAGCGTGGAAATCTAGAGATGGCTAGAAAGATTTTTGATGAGTTGGGTTCATATAGGAACTCTGTTACTTGGAATGCAATGATTTCTGCATATGCAAGACACGGTGATTTGGCTTTAGCTAAAGAACTCTTTGATAGAATGCCAGGGAGGAATGTGGTGTCCTGGAATTCTATAATAGCTGCTTATGCACAGAATGGACAATCAAAAATAGCAATTGATCTCTTCAAAGAGATGATTGAACAGGGAATGATTCCTGATGAAGTAACTATGCTTAGTGTAATCTCAGCTTGCGGCCATCTTGGGGCTTTGGAATTTGGCAAAGAGGTGGTCAATTTCCTGATGAAGAACAAAATTAAATTGAACATTTCGGGTTACAATTCCTTGATTTTCATGTATTCTAAGTGCGGAAGCATGGAAGATGCAAAAATGGTGTTTCGATCTTTGGAAACCAGAGATGTGGTGTCCTATAATGCACTCATTACAGGTTTGGCAGCTTATGGTAATGGCAATGAAGCCCTTGATTTTCTCTGGAAGATGAAGGAAGATAACCTTGAACCAGATCGGATAACGTATACTGGAGTTCTAACAGCCTGCAGTCATGCAGGATTGGTGGATGATGGCCAAAGAATTTTTGAATCAATCGAATCTCCTGATGTTGATCATTATGCATGCCTAGTGGACTTGTTAGGTAGAAATGGCAAACTTGATGAAGCAAAGGGGTGGATTGATAGAATGCCACTGCATCCTCATGCTGGTGTATATGGTGCACTTTTAAATGCTAGCTGTATTCACAAAAGAATTGATCTTGGAGAGTTTGCAGCAACTAAACTCTTTGAGATCGAACCAGAAAACTCAGGCAACTATATCTTGCTTTCTAATATATATGCTTCAGTAAGGAGGTGGGAAGATGTAGAAAGAATCAGAGGATTGATGAGTAAAGTGGGAATTTTGAAGACAACTGGGTGGAGTTGGGTGGAACATGATGGCAAGATGCACAAGTTCATAGTCGGCGATCAGTTGCATGAGAAATCAGATGATATTTATCGAGTACTTGGTGAGATGGAAAACAAGATGAGGCTTGCTGGATACATGGCTGACAAGAGCTGTGTTTTGAGAGACATTGAGGAAGAAGAAAAGGAAGAAATGATAGGAAGCCATAGCGAGAAATTGGCTGTTGCTTTTGCAGTTCTAGTGACTGAACCGGGATCTATGATACGAGTGGTAAAGAACCTCAGGATCTGTAGGGATTGTCACACTGCTATAAAGATCATATCAAAGTTAGAGAAAAGGGAGATTATTGTTAGGGACAACAATAGGTTTCACTGCTTCAAAGATGGGTTATGTTCGTGCAAGGACTACTGGTAATACTTGTGTTGCTTTGAACATTTGGTAGCTGCACATTGGAACATGATGTTAGAGCACAAAAGGCATCAGTCTAGTGCCCCCACACCGTCTAGTTCTTCTTATTAGAGCACATAACATTTTGCAAGCCTATAAACTCCTATTTGTGTTTATAATGAAAGTCATCAACTCATGCCTCTCAGAGCATTCTGAGATTGACACTATGGTCTACAATGCTGGGATCTCTGCCACAATAGATACTCAAGTATTTTTTGAATTGAAATGATTCTTGCAAGAAAGGTGAAATGATTAAACTGTCAGCCATCCATTGTGTGAAGGTGAAATCAACTTAACTATTATGTTCATTATTCTACCAAGTTAAGATTAGTGTTTCTTGGTCATGCAAATTTGTTTTAATTTCCATCTGTATTATGGTAAAGGCTATATGCATTACTTTCAGCTTTGAAAAGGCTAGCATCCATGCATATATTAACAGTTTCTGAAAGTGTACTCTGAAATGAGTACCAATATCAAATCACTGCCACATTTTACCTGAAAATATAGTCTTTAACATAATATCCTTTGGCAACAAGGGATTCTGTGGATACATTAATTTTCTTCCAAATACTGCACATTATGATTACTTACAAAGTTTTTCTGTATAGAGTTCCTTAATTAACACCACACCAGTCACTAGCTAGTATTGATAAGCCATTATTTGGGCACCACATTTAATCTCAATTTGCATGGATCTTAAGGTGATTGAGATGAAAATCACTCATAATTGAAGTGTTTTTTATTGTAGGTAAGAAAGATTGGGCAAAGGCGTGAACGGACAAGGAAGGAGGCAATTTGCAAGTGCAATGAGTCAAGGAAGCACAAAATGAAAGCATAAGGACACGAAGCAAATCAAGGAGCAGAATTGGAGCTTAGGAGAAGATCAAGAGGTGTGACCGTGACCTTCCCAGAGCATTTTCTAATCCCTAGGCTCCCGATAACACTCATTGCCATGAGCATCAGCGTGAGGCCGGGAATCAGAAAGTTTCCTGGGATGGTCACGGTCGCCCTCCCGACCGGGAGTTTGACCGGGACCATGTGTCCAAAATTTGTTGAGATGGTTTCTTTGGTGCGAATTGCAGAATTGGAGGGTATAAATAAGCCTAGGCGGCTAATTTTTAGCTTCTCTCTAGGCTTTCCTAAGGAGAAAACCTTTACACAACCTCTCTTCTTGTAATCATTCCAAATTTGATGAAGAATTGGAGTTAATTTTAGCTTGTAATTCATTTTGGTTTCAATTTGAAGATTGCATTTTCCATTGTTATTGATCAAAGCTAAGTCTTTCTTTTTTACTCTCTATTCTCTTTAATTGAATTGTTCTTGCAATGTCTTCCATTTCAATTCATGCTTCATTTCAATTTCAAATATGAGTCGCTAGATTACTTTGGATTTGGTTTGAGCTCTTTTGTTATGAATGCTATGTGATTTGAATTGCAATGTTAGATAGTATAATGACTTGATGGTTTTAGTTATGAGCTTGGTAGTTTATATGGATTCTTGCATAATTTGGGCCAAATTATGCAAGAGGTACATAGATAAGTTGTTGTCACTATGAGAATAGAACAACACCATAATCGTATTTCTCACTAGTCTAACTTTGCTTTACGAAAAGGGAGTTGGAAGGAGACGTGAACGCCACATGTTTGATGAATTGCTTCAATTGGTTTAGGTCACCATGAGAATGGGCTTCAAGCTAATTGAGAGTCTAAGTCTACGAGAGCGGCATTGACACTTAGAGGGCAATTTATATCCTACACCACGGCGCGTGTTACATTGTGCGCCCAGATGCAAAACGACGTCGTTTCAATTTTTTTTTTTTTTTGAAATTTCGCTACCCAGTGTTTGGCGGTTAATTTTCCTTTAAAAAAAATCTCATGTTCAAAAATGTACATAATGTTATACTAGAATACACATAATTGTATACATGAATGTACATAATTGTATAACAAAATACATATACTCTTTTTTAAAAGATAATACACATAATCTAACATAATACATAATAAACATAAACTTTTAACATAATACACATCAACTCATAACATAATGCACAAAAATTTCCTGATTCGGATGTACATAATTGTATAAAAAAAATGTACATAATTGTATAAAAAATGTACATAATAAAAAATATACATAATTGTATAAACAAATATACATAATCATGTCAACTTCCTACCGTGCTTCCCAAAACGACGTCGTTTTGGGAGGCGCGGGATGCACAGTGCACTGTGCGCCGTGGTGCAGAGTATAACGATTGCATAGAGTGTTTGGTAGCAAGGAATATAAAGTTTGAACTTTTCTGGGAATTTAAAAGGTGGGAAAATTATTCCCATATTTGGTGCAATATTTGACATAGGAAAGTTCGGGTCAATGGGAATCACATTCCATGATATCAAGGAAACTAAATTCCCACCTAAGGGAGGTAAGATTCTTTTTCTCGAGTGACTGGAATCTACCAAATTTATTCAATTACGTATTTATCTTTTTCGGCGTTAGATTAAAAGTCATATAAATATAAGAAATTTATCTCTCCCACCATTACACATTGTTTATTAATGAAATTTACATCCAGGTACGTATACATGAACGTACTGAATATTTACATAACGAATCATATTGCAAATTAAATTATGGAAAACATTAACTGCGTACTTGGATGTAAATTTCTTTAATAAACAATGTGTGTGTGTAAACTTGATTAACTTGATTTTAATTTTTTGTATGTGGAAATTTTTTGGCATATGATTTATTAATTTACAAGTAATTTATTAAACTCTCAATTATTATTATTATTTTTTATGTTTGTATATACTATATAGCAAGGATATATTAGATATTATAAAATTTTTCAGGGAAGTTTAAATGAACAAAACATGTTAATTAATTTTTTTTAGGTAATTTAATTGTTATATTTCCAGGATAACACCAAACATTTGAAATAATTTTTCGTGTAAAATTATTTCCATCAAACATATTCCTTAGTGTTATAAAACCACTATTTATGGACATTTGTATTTGTAACGGAATGTAACGGATGTAACAGTTGTATACATTTATTGTATTTATTACATTGAGTCCTTTATATTCTGTACTCTTGTAAACTAAAGAAATGAGCTAATGAGAATACAGAATTCATCTCACATATATCTCTACTCTTTTCCTTTGCTTTCTTTTGCTTTTGTTCTTCAAGCGTTCACCAAACTCAAGGAGTCTAAGGCCAACTAACCTGCATTACAACACGTTATCAGTACGCTCTAACCCCCGATGAACGGGATGGCGGCAACGCTGGTTGATGACGATCGGCATCGATTCGCACGATCGGAGACAGCGGCGGCAACGCTGCTCGGCGATAGAAACCGGTGGCTGGAGGTGGCGGAGACAACCGACTTCCTCCCGCGGTAATGGCGACCGTCGGTGGCTCGCGAAGATGGTGGCTGCGGTGATGGCGATCGATGGTTGAAGGCCTCTTCTTTTTCCCCTTCGGTTTAATTGAAAGAGGTGGCATAACATAAATGCCTCATCTTTAGCCTAATAAACGCAGAAGCGTTTTTTTTTCCTCTTTATGGCCTAGGGTTTTCTATTAAAGCCCTCCTTTTCTTGCATATTTCTATGTTGGACCAGTGTTTTCATTTTTGGACCACCATCATTCATGGGCTATTTTTTTCTCATTCAAGCCCCTAATTTATTTGGACCATTTTTTTTTGGGGCATGATATATAATATTTTCTTTGGGCCTTTCGTTTATTGAAATAAACTAGGCCACACATTCCATTTTTTATGGTCCTCATTCAAATATTTTCTGTAGAAATGGCTGCTCTCGCAAAACGAGAATTCGCTGAACTCGCCCTCGATGGAAGCAATTTCCTCACTTGGGCACTTGATGTTGAGATATATCTCCAATCTACAGAACTGCTGGACACCATTGAAGAGACATCTACGAGCACTGCAGCCCAGAAGGCAAAAGCGCTCATTTTCCTCCGCCACCATCTCAACCACGACCTCAAGAATGAATACTTAACAGAAAAAGACCCCTATGTCCTCTGGAAATCTCTTAATGCACGCTTTGACCAACAGACGTCATTGGTCCAACCCTAGGCCCAACATGATTGGCTTAACCTCCGATTTCAAGACTTTAAGTCTGTGACTGAATACAACTCCGCCCTACACAAAATTGTGTCACAATTAAAGCTCTGTAAGCAAATAATTACGGACGAGGATCTAATTGAAAAAACCCTATCCACGTTCCATCCAAATGACCTTGTGCTCCAGAAGCAGTACAGGAATACAAAGTATAATACGCATCCAGAGCTCATTACTGATTTACTGGTGGCTGAAAAGCATAGCCAGTTATTGATGCATAATCACAATGCACGTCCAACTGGCGCTGCACCTGTGCCTGAAGCACACACTGTTGCCCAGCAGAGCGACAATCGGCGGGGTCGAGGCCGGGGAAGGGGGAGAGGTCGTGGCAGGGGCCCAAAGCGAGGTGGCAGAGGGGGAGCTAGCGGTAGTAACTCCCGTCCTCAGAACAAGCAAACTCAAAGAAATGGACCAAACAAGTCACAACAGAACTCTGGTCAGTCGCAACCATGTTATAAATGTGGTTGCAAAGGACATTGGTCTAGGACATGCAGGACTCCTAAACATCTGGTCGAGGCTTACCAAAAGATGCTCCAGCAAGAAGGAGGACAAAAGAAGAAAGATTCTGGGCAATCATCTTTGCCTGAAGTAAATGCCCTCATCTTAGGGAATGATGACCTGCTAGGCGATGAACTAGCTGATTATGGAGATCAGGAGTGATACTCCTATTCTTTTCTCTCCTTTTTCTTATGGACATCCATTTTACTTCATGCCTGCATGCATGTTTATATTTGAACTCCTTTGTCCTATATGAATAATGGATCCCTTATCTTTGAACTCTTTTGTTTTTTTTGAATAAATACAATGGATTCTTCTTAGACATTATCTTGATACCCATTCCTTTTTCTTTAGAGATATGGGAGATGAATCAACCCTATGCTTGGTTGATTGTGCGACTACGCACACTATTCTGACAGACCGGAGATTTTTCCAAACGTTCAAGGAACATAAAGGCAACCTTTCAACCATAGCGAATGATGACATCCCTATTGTGGGCTCCGGCAGAGCGTCACTTATTCTTCCTAAAGGAACAAAGTTGATCATTGATTCAGCCCTCCTATATCCTCAATCAAAAAGAACTTTGCTCAATTTCAGGGATATTCGGTCCAACGGTTTTCACATAGAAACTAAAACTAAAAACAATACCGAATTCCTTGTTTTGACCAAAACAGTCAATAACCAGAAAAAGGAAATTGAAGAACTTCCTTCCTTTTCTTCAGGCCTGTATTATTCATATATCAGGCCCCAGCACTCCTGCGTTGCACTCGCAGTAAAGTTTAAAGATACACATTCTTTCAGTCTATGGCATGACCGCTTAGGTCACCCTGGGCAAACAATGATAGGCCGGATTCTTTCAAATTCAACTGGACATAACCTTCTTAGGACAAACATTCTTTCTACAAAAGATTACACATGTGTTCCATGTGCACAGGGAAAACTTATTGTTCGTCCCTCGCGTCCTAAGATTGGTTTTGAGTCACCTGTCTTCCTGCAGAGGCTACAGGGTGATATTTGTGGACCAATTAATCCTTCATCCGGACCATTTCGATATTTTATGGTCCTTATTGATGCTTCCACCCGATGGACACATGTGTGTTTGTTGTCCACTCGAAATATGGCATTCGCAAAATTCATAAGCCAAATCATTAGGTTGAATGCCCAATTTCCCGATTATCCTATTAAGAACATAAGAATGGATAATGCTGGTGAATTCACTTCGTCAGCTTTTGACGATTATTGTATGGCCATGGGAATTAAGGTGGAACATCCTGTACCATACGTCCACACCCAGAATGGTTTAGCTGAATCTCTTATCAAAAGAATTAAACTAATAGCTAGACCATTACTACAACGGTCCAGTCTACCAGTAAATTGTTGGGGACACGCAGTGTTGCATGCTGCAAACCTAATTCAACTCCGGCCAACTGCATATCACGATTATTCCCCTCTACAACTTGTACGTGGTAATGAGCCAGACATTTCCCATTTGCGTGTCTTTGGCTGTGCGATTTACGTACCTATACCACCTCCGCATCGTTCTTCAATGGGCTCGCAACGTCAATTAGGTATTTATGTTGGGTATGAATCCCCTTCTATCATTAAATACCTCGAGCCTATGACAGCAGATCAGTTTACTGCACGGTTTGCTGACTGCATTTTTGATGAAGATCATTTCCCGGCATTAGGGGGAGAGAAAAACCCAGTTTTGAAAAAATGCCACGAAATTTCATGGGATGAAAAAGATCTTCAATATCTTGACCCACGTACTAGTCAAACTGAACTTGAAGTTCAGAAAATAATAAATTTGCAAAAACTAGCAAATAATCTGCCAGATGCGTTTACTGATTATAAAAGAGTAACTAGGTCCTATATTCCTGCAGAAAATGCTCCATCAAGGATAATTGTCCCCAAAGGACCAAATAATAACACCGACACTATCCGACGCCAGAAGCGTGGAAGACCAGTTGGTGCAAAAGATGTAAATCCGCGGAAAATTAAAAACAATAAACAATCACAGTTACTCCAAAAGTCATTATATGGCTTAAAACAATCAGGAAGAATGTGGTATTGTCGATTGAGTGAATTCCTCTTAAAACAAGGATATGAAAATAAAGATATTAGTCCTTGCATCTTTACAAAGAAATCAACTGATGGTTTCTGTATTATATCAATCTATGTAGATGATATAAACATCATAGGGACGAGCAAGGACGTCAAGAGGGCATGCTTGTGCCTAAAGGAGGAATTCGAAATGAAAGACTTGGGAAAAACCAAGTTCTGTCTCGGCCTGCAGATCGAGCACCTCCCTGAAGGAATATTCATACACCAATCCAAATACACAGACAAGTTATTGGAAAAATTCTACATGGATAAGTCCCATCCACTTAGTACTCCAATGGTAGTCCGATCACTTGAAGTTGATAAGGACCCGTACAGACCTAAAGAGGATAATGAGGATATTCTAGGACCAGAAGTTCCTTACTTAAGTGCCATTGGAGCACTTCTATACCTTGCCAACTGCACTAGACCTGATATTGCATTTTCAGTAAACATGCTAGCTCGTTTTAGTGCTGCTCCAACCAGAAGGCATTGGAATGGCATAAAACATATCCTCAGATATTTGCAAGGTACAAAGGATCTTGGCCTTCTATTTAAAAGAAACCAAGACACCACATTAGTGGGATACGCGGATGCTGGCTTTATGTCTGATCCGCATAATGCTAGATCTCAGACTGGATATGTGTTTCTTTCTGGAGGTACTGCTATTTCATGGAAATCAGTTAAACAAACATTAGTAGCTACCTCCTCAAACCATTCTGAGATTATTGCCTTATACGAGACCTCCAAAGAATGTGTATGGTTGAGGTCATTAATACACAATATTCAAGACTCGTGTGGAATAATGAATAATGGAAAGATCCCCACTGTCCTGTACGAGGACAATGCAGCATGTGTTGCACAAATGAGTAATGGATATGTTAAAGGTAATCTCACCAAACATATTACACCAAAATTCTTTTATCCACATGAACTCCAGAAGAGTGGTGAAATACGAGTCCAAAAGATCCAGTCAAGTGAGAATCTGGCAGATTTATTTACTAAGTCCTTACCTACATCTATTTTTGAAAAGTATGTATACAAAATTGGTATGCGTAGATTAGGAAGGCTGTTGTCTTCAGGGGGAGCAACAACATCTTGAATGTAACAAAATTATTAATCTAGAAGATCAATTTATTCACTTTGATCCAGAAGATCAAGACTTATCCTTATGTTTTATACCTAAACCCAGAAGGTTTACAGTTGTACTCTTTTTCCCTTTGCTGAGTTTTTTTCCCACAGGGTTTTCTCAGTGTAAGGTTTTTAATGAGGCAACCAAAGCAACACATGCATTATCCATATATCATGTACTCTTTTCTCGACTAGGTTTTTCCCACAGGGTTTTTCTAGCGAGTTTTTAACGAGGCATGATTATGGCAAAATAATGTCCAAGGGGGAGTGTTATAAAACCACTATTTATGGACATTTGTATTTGTAACGGAATGTAACGGATGTAACAGTTGTATACATTTATTGTATTTATTACATTGAGTCCTTTATATTCTGTACTCTTGTAAACTAAAGAAATGAGCTAATGAGAATACAGAATTCATCTCACATATATCTCTACTCTTTTCCTTTGCTTTCTTTTGCTTTTGTTCTTCAAGCGTTCACCAAACTCAAGGAGTCTAAGGCCAACTAACCTGCATTACAACACTTAGAAACATTTTCTTAGAAATTTAATTGAAGGGAAAGTATCAAACAACTTCTTAGTAGGGTATTCCTACTTCCCATGTTGAGGCATTACACGGCAATTTATATCCTACACCACGGCGCGCGTTGCACTATGCGCCCAGATGCAAAACGACGTCGTTTTAATTTTTTTTTTTTTTTTTGAAATTTCCCGCCCCAGTGAATGGCAGTAGTTTTTTCTTAAAAAAAAAAAACCCGCTGTTCAAGAATGTACATAATGTTATACTAGAATACACATAATGTTATACATGAATGTACATAATTATATAACAAAATATACATACTCTTTTTAAAAGATAATACACATAATATAACATAATACATAATAAACATAAACTTTTAACATAATACACATCAACTCTTAACATAATACACACAAATTTTCTGATTTGGATGTACATAATTGTATAAAAAAAATGTACATAATTGTATAAAAAATACACATAACGTTGTGAACAAATACACATAACGTTGTGAACAAATACACATAATCTCAGCAACTTCCTACCGCGCCTCCCACCACTACCCGAAAACGACGTCGTTTTGGGAGACGCGCGGCGCACAGTGCTATGTGCGCCGTGGTGTAGGATATAACGATTGGCATTACACGGTCTTTATCCTAGGACACACTATAGCATCTATACAAAAATAGCTAGGTCCAAGTCCGTCCTTTTACAATTATTTGATAATTGTTGTTTGATTGCTCATTTCATTTTGTTTAGTATTTTTACATGATTCTTATCTATACCATTCGAACTAACTTCCAAACACCCTATACTTTCATGCTTAACCACCTACTATTCTACTTCCTTTTAGTTCACTCATCGAGACATGTCCCGAGTGAGAATACTCTCTCACACTTCATTCCATTACCATTAAAACACAACTTTCAATTATAAAGGGAAGAGTCTCACCATCAAAATGCCAAAAGAGTCTGAAATAACAATGTTTCCATCAACTATTGCTGGCACATACCCCAAAGGCTTACAATTCAGCCCAAGTTTCTTAAATTCCTCTTAATGATCAATTTATCTTCTCCTAATCGTGTATCTGCCCAAAATTAAATCAATGAATTAATGTTTCAAAGAAGAATGGGCAACATAATAGGGCAAATTATTCCGTGATGTTTCAAAGAAGAATGGGCAACATAATAGGGAAAATTATTCCGTGGACTCGGGTCCACCTTGCAATGTGGATCTAGGATTAAAATATACAATTTACATACTGAATGTTTACAATTTTGTAAATGGTAAATTGTGAACATTTAATATGTAAATTTTGAACATTACGTATGTAAATTGTGTATGTAAATTGTGAACATTCAATATATAAATTGTGTATTTTGAACCCGGGTTCATCTTGCAAAGTGA